TTATACATATATACATATATGTACATATCTGCAACTAGCGCTGAACATGAGTTCGTTTTTATTAAATTGCATGACGGTGCAAGAATGCTAAATCAAACAGAAATTGTATCCCTTTCGCGATGCTCTCAATAAATACCTCAAACGCTCGTTTTCGCTTCCGTTTTTATTTCTATCGCGTTGTGTTTATTAACTTTACCGATTTCGCTAATGCTGCGCAAGTCGATCATCGATCTAAAGTGTTTGAAAGCATTCAGAGTAATGATTTTATTATTGAATAGAACGTAGATATTTAGATTTATATAGAGTTATGCGAAAGTATTAAAGTAATACGTGCTATACTTGATTCCGAAGACAGTAAAATTAATTTTAGTGGTCATTAGATTCAAACAGCTAATTTTCAAATCGGTAAATGAATCTATTTAAAAAATCGTTATATTGAAACAACTGATTCTGAAGTAAATATCATTATCAGATGCGTGAAAGTCCGAAAAATTAATACTCTAGAACTAACACGTACATTCGACCTTAATTATATATTGAGAAAAAGTTTTAATAATCGCATTTAATTTAAAAAGTTTCATTGAATTCAATATGCCATTTACGATTAATATTTAAGAATCAGGATATAAACTTCCAACCGTACTGTTACGGCTGAAACATTGGAAGAAAAATATGAAAAAAATTACGCGAGAATGTGTGCTTTATATTATATTTTATTTTTAAGAGTGTCCGAGAATTTGTAAACGGTATCCGCATATGTAAAATTTAAAATTGTAATTAATGACATTTACTTCAGAGTCAGTTGTTTCAATATAACGATTTTTTTAGATTCATTTATCGATTTGAAAATTAGCTGTTTGAATCTAATGACCACTACAATTTATTTTACCGTCTTCGGAATCAAGTATAGCACGTATCATGTTACAGTTTCGCTGTTCTACGTGATATTCTTAATATTACTGCTGAGTGATCTGTTTACGCGCAATGTTTTCGATCGCATTTTCGGTCCTTTATATATGTCGGGTACATTTTACGCGTGGCGTACTCGAATGACTGTATATCAAGCGGAAATCCAGGGCGATGAGCCCGCGGGTTCCGGCTGCTCGCGATGCTCGGGTCGCCGTGAGATCCGGGCGGAGGATCAGTGGAAGGATCAGGAGTGAGGGGAATGTCGGTCACTGGGCCTCACCTCTCTCGGCGACGAGTATTCGGTGCCACGGCTCGTGCTCCGGCTCTCGGCCGCGAGCCGGCTCGCGCTCGAGCCACCTAGGAAGTACACACGACAGTTCCCCTCCCCCATTGTGTTCCTCTTTCCCGCGGTAGCACTCGTTCTCTAACATTCCTCGATGTTTCCACCGCCTATATGAATTCAACCGTTCAAACTAACGCGCGCCGCTCCGACACCGTTGAAGAATTTCTTTCTCGTCACCGCTGATGTGTCGCATTTTCTCTCTCTTTCCTTCCCCCCCTCTCTCTCTCTCTCTCTCTCTCTCTCTTTCTCTTTGTACCTTTGACTGGATTCTACCGCACGCAACAAAACAAAACGGGAATACAATGCCTCGCATTCAACTTCCATTCGAGAATCACCAATATTCATATTTAACAACGGCTTTTTCGATCGACCTAGATTCTCCTCTAGTGGAAATGTCGCGGCAACGACGGAGTCCGAGTTGTGAACGATTAAAAAATCTGTCCTCAATTTTTAATAATCGCTTTTAACGGAGTTACCCTGGAATTATTCATTTATATTTATTCACACATATTCGTATAAATTAGTACGGGAGAAGCAAATTAAATGAAGTTACTGAAATACATTGTTATATACATTAAACGTGAACGCTCGAGTTTAAATTTTATGTATTCTTTAAAAATAAATGTCCCATTGCTCTGAAAACATATGTGATCCGTATAACATAGAGTTTTCATTCTTTTCCTCTTTTCTACGGAAATAGAAATCTCGTACGCAAGTCAAGTTCGAAAATCTGAATTCGACCTTAAGTGACATGAATGAGCATTCATTCATTGTGTAGTCGCGCAATCATTATTTTCGCAATTATTCTTGCGGCTCAATCGTCGATACGTAGAAATCAAGTATATCGTGAACGTCGGACAAATCGCGATCCGTGACATTTTAACGCGTTCGAAGGCACGCGGAAAGAAGCGCGAAAGCGCCGCGTTTGCGTTCCACCGCGCGAGTTTCCACGCCGACGCGACGCGTTGCGGCGCGATTCCGCCAAAAGCACCGTGAGTACCGTAAAGGTGAATAAGCGGGTCGCGCCGCACTCACGAGCATCGAATTCCTCGCCTACCACAGCCGGGATCAGATTAATTTTCAACACACACACATACTCGAGCCTCAATTACATCGATAATTTGCTCGGCAAAATAAAAAGAATTATTGAAAATTGGCACGACGCGAGTAGTGCATTCTTTGCGTCGATCTGGCAATCCTATAGCAACAAGAAAGATATTTCTATCTTTCTCGTAGAAGAACATAAAGTCAACGGTCGATATCTTTGTAATTAACATTTTATGATGTGTGCAATATTAAATTAATTTAAATTCAAGAGATATAGTTTTAATTATATATTTTACTAATGATTAAAATATTAAAGTGTATTAATTAAGTGGATTTAAAAAAAATTTTTTATTAAATTATGAAAATATTTAAAAATAAAAGAGATGAGTATACTATTCAAGGCGCGAGTTAAATCTTAAAGAGTTAAGTCTAAAATTATATCGGAGCGGATTTTACTTTTCATAAATTCATAGAATTTTCTAGCTATATAAGCCAGTTCTATTTTACAATAATATTTCTATTGAAATTAAATTCAAAATTGTTAGCGTTAGAGAATATTGTCCAGCAATATCCACTTTTTCTTTCTTTCTTTTTTATTTCTTTTACGGACGCGGTGATGAGTTTCTCCGAGAGATAAGTTTAATCGGACGTTGGAGTCCGGTTTTTTTTCTATGTACAGGTATATATAAGTGGAATCTCATTGAAGCGTACAGTGTGCTCGTGGATAATTCGCATCGATTAATCCATCTCGTTTATTATTGACGTGGCCGCGTCGCGGTCGGGACGCATTTCGGGGCTTGTGCAATGGCAATCTAACTGACTAATAAGCGTCTCGTTACTATGCGAAATTCGGCAGCCGTTACCATTAAAGCGCGAATTTATTCACGATAACAGGAACTACGGACGGTGTTTCGAATGAGATACAGAATTCAATGCTGGACAACAAGACGGACTGCACGTGACGACACGATATATGTGACTGTCTCTTAATTCAATGGTCATTTACATTGAAAAGGCATCCGCCGATTGTCAATCAAAGCGACAGTTAATCGCCAAAGCCCAAGGACGCGAGCAGCCCCCCGGGCGAACGCGCGGATAATTGTTCTCCCGCCGCCGCGCCGTCCACCGAAATCCTGCTTTCGTGAGCGTGATCGATTTCGATTCCCGCGACGCGCGACACCTCGTCGACGCCGGTTGATCGTGTGTCGTACGCCGTCAGTTCGGGCCGTTGAATTCTAGAAGGGGGTCATCATACGAGGCCGTCGCGAGCGAGGCGGCGGGCCAGCCGGAGAACCAGTATACGGGTGTCGTTCTGCGCGGACTGAACGGAAGGAGCGAGAGGCGCGCGTCGGAGGAACCACTGCACGGAGAGAGAGCGGCGTCGCCGTGCCGTGCCGTCGTTCGTAAATAAACGTTAACGCAGTCGCGACGCGCCGTCGTACGTGGTGCCACCGTTATACGGCTTTTCACGCGGGGGTGCGAACGCGCAAAAGGGTTTTACATCGTTAAGGGATTTTGCGACGGGAGAGTTCCGGCTCGCCGGCATCGTTCTCGGGAACGGATACGACTGCGATCGCGAGGTGAGTTCCGGCTTGCAGTGATACTTTGTGAGGGAAAACTGCGAACGACGAACCGAGGACCTTCTCAATTTCAAAATGTGTTACCGCGTACATAAATTTCGTTGCGGCAGTTTTAACGTGAATCTTTTGACGTTTAATGACGTTTTAACAACGTTTCCTTTTTCCTTTGTAACTCCGTGTTCATTTCACATTGATGCTGTTTAATGCGATTCTTCCGATAAACAGCTTGTGTCTCGTGCGTAGTATTATTTGAATTTTATTTTAAATTGTTAAAAGTGAACGACAATGATGTTTTCTACCGTACGAAAAATGTATACACATCGACGAAACTAAACTACTGAGATAATAGTAGTTTTGTAGAATTTAATCGAAGCGCTAGGGGAATGATTCGTGAGATGTAACAAAGCAAATTGATTGATTGTTTTGTCGGTTTTATCAAACTGCAGTTGTATTTTTTCCAAAACAAAAATACATGTTGCACCGACTTAATCGATTGTTGGATATGTTTTGTTAGGATAAAACGCGCGTGACAAACGAGTCGATTTTTTCACTAAAAAAAAAAATATGAAGCACCAGTAACTTTCT